CTCATGGAAAAACAGCATTCAAATATGATAGAATGTTCCCACAAACTTTTTTGAAGCCCCCTTGTTTAAAACACACATAGACCCACATCTAGAGAAAGGGGAACTTGGGCTTGATGGCAAGTCAGAACTGACCGATGGCGGGGAGTTTGATCCTGGTTTGCAGCGTGGGGGGGTTCTAGTTGGTAACACTCTTTCAATATAGGAGGAATGGGGGTGGGGGGGCAGTGGGCCAGTGCAAGGAGATTTTATACTTTCTGCTGTTTTGCTGTAAGCCTGAAACTGCTCTCAAAAATTAAGCGTCTTTTAAAAAAGCATTTTCATTATTACTACCAAAGCCAAAGGTTCTCAGAGAAAAACAGAAACACAGAGAACAGGAAATAAAGAGGGGCCTGGCAGGTGGTGGGGGTGGTAGGGCGACAGACCCACAGGACCAGAGGGGCCTCATCTTGACTCTCACCACCCACTTCTTTCCTTTGAACAAAATAGCTTGTCCAAAGGTGTATATCAAAATGCGAAGTGGAAAATGTTTTGCATCACAGATTTTTACCACAATAATATATATATATATATGCCACAATTACATGTGTGTCGGTACTTAAGAGAAATTGCGTAACGGCCAGTGTAAGGCGTTTTGAAACGTCTTTCCTTCGCCAGCCTACGCCATCCTGTCTGGTGGGCGTTTTCTCAGATGGGATGATTAGCGCCAAACAGCTGTGGGAGGTGGGGCGATTTAGGGTCCTGGCTGGGGAGAACAGAGCCCCGCTTTCCCCAGGGCTGAGACCTTCCCAAAGGAACCCCGGTAGGGTAGTAGTTACGAGTTGGGCTGTCATGTACTAGGTCAGTGGTTCGAAACCATGGGAGAACCACAGGGCAGTCTACACCCATAAAAAGTGAATTCACTGCCACTGAGTCAATGCTGACTCTTAGCGACACACCACCCCCCACCCCCACATGTGTTGACCAGGGATCCATAAAGTTAGTCTCGGAAACCCATAGGGTCACTTCCACCCTGTCCTCTCAGGTCGCTGTAAGTGGGTTTGGTTTATTTT